AAAAACCATGATTCGAGTATTTTTTTTTTTTGGCTATAAATCATTAGAAAATGACTTATTGGCTACCCATTTAGACGGATGTTTATTGTTCACCTTTTTACTCTTTTTTTTTCAATGCAATGTTCACCTTTATTCTCACTCGTAGTAAAATTAAATCACAACTTGTGTAAACGTTTTTTTTTCTTTTACTCGTAGTTTTGACTTTTGAGAGCTAATACTCATTCTCGCTTGCGTTTATTATATTCTTCTCTAGCTACTTTGTAAAATTAATTGATTATTTATTATATTCAGCTCGTACTTTGTCATTTTGTGATTTTTTATTTTATTTTATTAAAGATATGCCATTCTGGTTGCACTTGTATTTTTCTTTCTTTCTTCTTTTTTTTTTTCCAAAATTTCTGTCGACATTGCAACAACGCTACAAGCCAACAGGCAACAACATCATCAAATTCAGGTTAAAAGAAAAAAAAAACATTATGGCATCATTCACTTCGCAGATTTGAGTTTTTAATTCGAGCTGAGATGTGACATTTTTTAAAAACTTTTTATTATAGTACAAAAAGTTAAATGTGATATTTTTTAAGAATTTTTTACTGTAAAAACTTTAAATTGAAAATTTGAATCGGTAAAATGAACGAGACATAAATTAGCTAAAATATAAAAATGCGAGTGAGATAGAAAGAACATCTACAAGTCACAACTTATAATTTGACAATAATATAATCGGTGCATGTAACTTCCTAGCATAAAACAACACGAAAAAGAACAAATGAAATTATGAAAGTAGTAATAATCTTGTCCAGTAATCATGTGACTACCCAGGAAAATAAAAAAACAAAGTATTATGATTGTTGGTTTAAGAAAAAGTGGAGGCTACTATTAAACATCGCCAATTAGCCATGGGATTATGACTTTGGAGATAAAAAAGAATGGCCTATTATTCTAATAAAAGAAAAAACTTAAAAATAAAACAGGAGAATGGCCCATACTGTAGATTATCTTTTCTTTTTAAAGTAACTTTCCCAACCGAGTAACACAATTAATATCTAACCGATCACATTATATTAAGTCATTTAATAAATTTAAATATTAAAACATAAAGAAAAATAAATAATATATGTTAAAACATGAAAAGATGATATATAATAAATAAAGTAACACACATTTTTTAGTAAAAAGAAAAGTAAAAGAAATACCATTTGCTTAAAAAGAAAAATATATGCCGTACAATAATAATTTGAAGGGTAGGTTGTCCTATTCGCACACATCTTTATAAATACACACTCACTATAATTTTTAAGTAATTAAATTTACTTTTACATACTTTTACTATCTAAAATTACCCACAACTATTTACATAAAGATATTTAATTCTTTACCACTTTATTTTTCTTTTTACAAACACTATTTTATTATTCGTTACTATAATATTATTGTTTCCCTGTCTATATTTTTCTTTTGTTGAAACTTTAGGTATGAAGTCTTTTTTTTTTTTAATACAAAAGAAAGTTTACTATTACATTTATCTAAGAAAACAGAAGGCATGTAGTTAGATTTAATTTGACAAGTAAAATGTAAGCATTAAAACAAAAATACAACAAAAAATCGGAAGCGGAAACGTGTGATTGAAATACCTACAACCATTGACATCGCTGTAGCAATCGGGGGCGTTTGGTATGCAGTAATCTTAAAGATGGGAATGAGAATCTGTAATATTACCATGTTTGGTACAAGAACTATAATATTTAGACTTGCAGGAAAGTGATTACCATGGGATTCACTTTCCCTCATTTTAAGGTAATCTGAATACCACCCAACATGGTGTTATTGTATTTAATATAATAATAATTATTATTATTATTATTATTATTATTATTTTTATATTTAATATTTTTATATTTTTTTTATTAATATTATTATTATGGATCTTCTTCCATGCGAACAACCAAACACATTAATGTAATATTCCTGAGAATTTGAAAAAAATTCATGTATGGAACCAAACACAATAATGTATTATTCTTAGGAATCATATTGCCCTCCATCACTTTCTTGAGAATATAATTCCTACTGATTGCCGCATACCAAACGGCCCCTAAAAGAAAACGAAAGTTTTTGTTGCACCGGGTTTGAGAGCTTCTAAACCTTAATCTGATCTCTATATATGATGGTGTAAAAAAGATGAAAACAGAGATTGGCTTATGAGATGTTTTTTCTCTTCCATCATCGAGCGTTTCTCAATTCAGTCACTTGAATTATGGGATTGTGGGTTGTTTTAAGAAGTTTCCTCAAATAAAAATTCTGAATCAAAATTTTAATAAATGCAAAATCTTTATTAATGGAATTTTTGGGCCACACACGGTTTCCATAAATTTTGAAAAAATAAGAAAAGAATCCTACATAATTTTACATATGTCAACACTAAAATCCGTTTGGTTCATGGATTAGAACAATGAGATTAGAATTATTTTCAATTTACGTGTATTTTTTTGTGAGAGAAAATACTGTAGCGAACCATGAACTATGATTCGAATCAGAAAACGAATCCTCTAACCAAACGGATAATAAGTAAATATGTGTAAAACCACTTTAAATTGTCTATGTTTGGTAGCTTATATTATATAAAGTATACTGTATTGTGTTGTATTATTATAATATAATACGGTGTTTGGTGTCATAAAGAAAATTCTCATAGCTCAAATAATCCTACATAAAAGTCATTTTACACATGTTAAAACTAAGTAAATATGTGTAAAACCACTTTGAATTGTCTTGGGCCGTGTTTGGTAGTTTGTATTATATAAAGTATACTATATTGTGTTATATTGTTATAATATAATACGGTGTTTAGTGTCATAACGTGTTATACGAGTCAAATTGTAAAATTTTAGGGTTAAAATATAATTTCCAAATGTTGCGGGGTTAAAATATAGTTTTTTTTAAAAAAAATTAGGGTCAAATGTAATTTTATAAAAATTTTAGGTTCAAATGTATTTTTTAGAAAATATGAATTTGTACTATGCCCTTCAATTTTTGAAAAATTATAGGCTCCGGTGCGACTCTATGTCGGCCCGACTTCGATCCCCAGTCGCGCCAAACCTCGACATGAATCATGGATAAGCTATAAATAATACAATACAAAACGCTAAAAATGAGTCATATTCAATAATAATATAACATAAATTGTATTAATTTATTATCTATATTAACTTATATAATACGATAATCACACTAAATATTGTATTGTTGTACTATTATACAATATGATACTTTAATACAGTGAAAGAAAAACATGCCAGTAATGAACAGATTTTTCGTTCTATACAATGTATTACATGTACTCATTATTTATCGTCAAAAATTTAAAATAGACAACAAAACAATTCAAAAAATAATTGAGCGAAAAATAAATAGCAAAACAACTTAAAAAATAATCAAATAAATAAATAACAAAGGGAAAAGAAATCATTCACAATATTAATTTATGTATGGGCAAAAAAAACAAAACGATAAAGAAAATCGGAAATCATACGAAACGGCATAAGCGAAAAACAAAAAAAAGCCATGCAACTTATGAAAAAAATAAATAAATAACAAAGTAAATGGTTAGCCGTTACAAGAAAAACTAAATAATTAGTAAAAAAATAAAAAAAAGTAAGAAAACAATCGTCATATAGAAAATAACAAATGTAATTATGTAATTAGGTCTAATAGAGTTGTCTTTTTATATTAAAAAATTTTAAGTTAAAAGGGCGTATGAAGAATTGAAGATATGTTCATAGAACCACCTTAATTCGATTTATAAATTATAAAGTTACAAAAAACATAAATACGTTCGTCAAATTCAATTCTAATCTTTCAAAAAAGAATTCAATTCTAATCCTCTAGTAAAAAAATAAATAATCAATTATAACATTAAACAAATTTTTTCTGAAGTACTTATGGTAAATATCGTATATAAAATATTAACAGTGAATAGCATATTTATGATAAATGATTCATCACGAAGAAAACGTATAAGGCAAATTTACCTTATAAATTTGCTTCGTGATGAATCATTTGCCTATTTAGTATAAATATTTTAAAAATCATATTCATTATAAATATTTTTCAAATACATACCAATGACAGCTTAAAGCAAACATTCTATAAACAAGAAGCATAAACATAAACAAAATACGAATTCAAAGTTTTAAAATTTTTAAAATGATATATTAAAATTTATAAAAAACATAAATAAATAATGTTATTAATAATTAATTATTAAAATAAAATAGAATAAATTAAAAAGAAAAGGCAAAAAAGTTTCCTAAAAAAAAGAAAAGATTTAATTACATATATGTCTGTTATGCAATAGATGAAAAAGAATGTCCCATAAATTGTGATATTTTGTACTCTATAAAATAATTTGTCAGACTTAAAATAATTTGTAATGACATTTTTATCTTTTATTAACTACCTCTAAAATTAATTATACAAATTCATACTACCCACATAAAAAATGCATATTTAGAATGATAATATCTCAATAATTATGAAATAGACACATGGATAATATTGTATAATTAAGAACATAGTGTAAACGCGGAGTTAAAAAATGATCATTTAGTGTAATTGCTTCAGGAAAAAAAAAAAAAAAAAAGAATATTTGGGCCTTCAAAAATATGTACCCCGTGAGAGGGCCCAAATGATAAAACGAACCAAGGAGCGTCATCTTAGAAAGCCCGTACCGCCAACGGCTAGAAAATCCCACTCAAAAAGCGTTAACAAACCAACCATAAGGAAAGGAGGGTTTTAGCCGTTTATCAAACCATCCAACGGTCAGAAATCGACTAAAATCCGACCGTTGTGAGTCGCGTCGGTTCCTCCTCTTAACAGCTTCACGGCCTTCTTTCTTTCTCTTATAAATAATCCGCAAAATTCCAAAACACTCACCAAAGATCACAACACCGAAGAAGAAGAGATTTTCAGAAGAAGAAGAGATTTTCAGAAAGAGAAAAGCAGAGTTTCGAGAGAAGAAAGAAGACGAAGAAGAAGAAGAAGGAGAATCGTGAACTTGCTGTTTGTGATTTTCCGAACGGCAAAAGAAGAAAGGAGGAGGAGGAGGAAAGGTGGCGATCGGAAACGCCGAATCCGGAGAAGGAGGAGGAGGAGGAGGAGAGACTCGCACCGGTGGTAGTAGTCGTCTCCAAGTGTTCCTCTCGACGCTGATTTCGAGCCTCGGAGGAGTTTTCGGCGCTAACTTTCAAGATCAAGATTCAGAGGGGGATATGGCTTCCAGAGCAGTTGTCGTTGTGCCTCGCCAACAAGTGCTCAGAGGTCCTAAAAGCAATCGATAATTCTCTCTTTTGTTTTGATTTTCTCATGAATTTCTACGATCTGGTTTGTTGTTCTCTTGCTTACTTTAATTTCCTTAGGTGTTTGGTCTTTCCCTTTTTCTTTCCATAAGTGATATGTTTTAGGAATTCTTCTTTTTCTTTTTTTCCCCTGCCTGAAGAATTGTATTTTAGTTTAGCGTTTTTCATGGCTTTCTTAAATATCTTTTTTTGATTTTTTTTAGAGGGAGGAAAGCAGAAGAATGTTGCCGCGGAAGGAAGACAGAGACGGGTTCTTCAAGACATCGGTAACCTGGTCACAGTTCGAGCTGAAGAAGGGAAACTCCATGATCAGAAAGCTACACTAGAGAAGAAGAACAACAACAAGGTACAAATAAAAGTATTGAACAATTTTCTTTTGGATATATTAGATTCAGAATTTTTCTGTATCAATACATTGAAATCTTTTGTTGATTTGCAGAAACCAACCAAAGTAGTGGAATCTGCTAAACCCACAAAACCAAAAGATGAACTCCATGATCAGAAAGCTGCACTAGAGAAGAAGAACAACAACAAGGTACAAATAAAAGTCTTGAACAATTTTCTTTTGGGTCTAATAGATTCAGAATTTTTTCTGTATCAATACATTGAAATCTTTTGTTGACTTGCAGAAACCAACCAAAGTAGTGGAATCTGCTAAACCAACAAAGCCAAAAGATGATGATATAGCCGTTGAGAACAACAACAAACCTGTTAGCGGAAGAAAATTAAGGGAAGGGACTTCGAGGAAGAATTTCAACAGGACCTTTACTTCAAGTCTTAGTGCCAGAAGCAAGGTAATACACACACACACACATTTTTATTTTTATTGTTCACTTAGTCTTTGGGTTATCTTTTCTTGCTTTCTTCGTTTCTGAACTTTTTTTCCTCAGGCTGCCAGTGGCCTGACCAATAAGCCGAAGGATAAAGTAGCACACACACACACATTTTTATTTTTATTGTTCACTTAGTCTTTGGGTTATCTTTTCTTGCTTTCTTCGTTTCTGAACTTTTTTTCCTCAGGCTGCCAGTGGCCTGACCAATAAGCCGAAGGATAAAGTAGCGGACATTGATGCAGCGGATGGTGATAACGAGTTGGCTGTGGTCGAATACATCGATGAACTTTACAGCTTTTACAAGCTCTCAGAGGTGAAAGTCCCTCTACCCATTTTAATTTTGTTTTTGTTTCTCTCTCTCTCTCATACTGATTTGGTATAATACAGGGTGAGACCAAGTTAGGCGACTACATGAGCCTACAACCAGACATCAATGCTAAGATGAGATCAATCTTGGTTGATTGGCTAGTAGAAGTTCACAACAAATTTGAACTCATGCCAGAGACCCTCTACCTTACCATCAACATTGTCGACCGGTTCCTCTCAATGAAGGTCGTCCCGAGGAGAGAGCTTCAGTTGGTTGGCATAAGCTCAATGCTTCTAGCAAGCAAGTACGAAGAAATATGGGCACCTGAGGTTAATGACTTTGCCTGCATTTCAGACAATGCTTATGCCAAAGAACAGATTTTGGCAATGGAAAAGGCAATCTTGGGAAAGTTGGGTTGGTGCTTAACAGTACCAACACAATATGTCTTCCTTGTCAGATACATTAAGGCCTCAGTTCCTGCTGATGAGAAGGTGAAAAAACCTCTAACTTAATTAATTCTTCAATGTTTAGCACAAACCCAGATCATTATGCTGACTAAATTATATATGCAGTTGGAGAATATGGTGCTTTTCCTGGCTGAAATTGGTCTAATGCAATACTCTGCTGTAACTGTGTACTGCCCTTCAATCATTGCTGCCTCTGCGGTTTATGCTGCAAGACATACACTTGACAAGAAACCCTTTTGGACTGAAACTCTCAAGCATCACACAGGCTATTCTGAAGACCAATTGATGTAAATCTCTCTCTCTCTCTCTCCTAATTTTAGTTTCTTTTGCCAATGGTTTATAATGTATGATGACAAGTTGTTTGTATATTGTTATGTGTAATAATTAACAGAGATTGTGCTAAGCTGTTGGTGAGCTTTCACTCTGCAGCAGCAAAGAGTAAGCCGAAGGCAGTGTTTAAGAAATTCTCAAGTCCAAAGTCTGGTGCTGTTGCTCTTCATTCCCCGGCCACGATACTTTTAGAAGATAAATCTCAACCACTTACTAGAAGCTGATTTCATTTATTCTTTTGAATCATGGAGTTTGTTTTGTCTAATTAAATTACCGACTGGTAAGGATTTCTTAGGTTACTATTTTGTTGATAGTGGGAGAGGAGGGATCATTTTGCTGTTAATGATCTGTATTGTTTTATTTCTTGTTTTGACATGACTATTATACGTAATTATAAGAGAACGGATTGGAATGACTATTAGTATTGTAATGAAATATTCTCTCTTATGAATATTATTATTCATATGGTATTGTGTTTTATAATTTTATATAAGCATAATGTAATAGGGATTTGGTTGCCAAACTGTTGGCAAACAAATTTGGACAAGTTTCGGGTTCGAGTTTCTTGAGGCGAAATATGTGAAGAATTCAGCTTTTCAACGAGGGAGACTATTAGCATAATGGTATTGTGTTTTATAATTTTATATAAGCATAATGTAATAGGGATTTGGTTGCCAAACTGTTGGCAAACAAATTTGGACAAGTTTCGGGTTCGAGTTTCTTGAGGCGAAATATGTGAAGAATTCAGCTTTTCAACGAGGGAGACTATTAGCATAATGGTATTGTGTTTTATAATTTTATATAAGCATAATGTAATAGGGATTTGGTTGCCAAACTGTTGGCAAACAAATTTGGACAAGTTTCGGGTTCGAGTTTCTTGAGGCGAAATATGTGAAGAATTCAGCTTTTCAACGAGGGAGACTATTAGAAGAACACCCTTGGATGATCCCATGGGTGGAGTAATGGAGTTATCCTTCAATTGTTGCAGTTGGTGGCTAGAGATTCTCAGTCCAGAATAGTTGCTTGGTGTTTAGAGGCGTCTGCAAGGTCGCTGAATGGGCGGAGCCTGGAAGCATGGTGTTTCTAAAGGGTGAGCTTGCAGTGAGAAAGGGGCGGAAGGCGGTGGTTTTAGAAGGTTGTCTTAAGGGGCGGAAGCTGTCAGCTGGAAAATTCAACATATTGTTGCTGCTGTATTGGCTTTTTGTTTAAAATTTGAAGTTAAGTTTAACTGGATTTCGAGAAAATTTAATTTCTTTTGAGGATATTGGAACCAAAAAATGCTAGTGCAACAACAAGATGATCTCAGCAAAATCACAATGTTTACAAGAACAACAAAATGCATAATTATCATTATCACTGTTTACAAAAAGACTTATTCTACTCAATTTCTTTCACCAACCCCATTGCTGGGGATAATCTCAGCAGCACTTTCATCTTTTACCTTGACCTTAGCACCACAGCAGCTTTTCCTCTCATGCCTATGAACCTTCTCAACTTCTTTAACACCACTCCTCCCATCATCATCATCCTTCCCAAAATCCAACCTCCTCTCCGAGAACTCAGAATTCTCCTTCCAAACCTCTCCATCAGAATAAACCTCCTTCTTCCAAATGGGAACTGATGCCTTCACCTCATCAATCACAAACTTACATGCCTCCAATGCATCGACTCTGTGAACAGATGACGCTGCAATGAAGACGCTTGTTTCGCCCACCAGAACCGGCCCAAGGCGGTGCACCACCGCCACGGAGTGGAGGTTCCAGGATGACCTTGCAGATGAACATATGGATTTCATGCATTTGATGGCCATTGGCACGTATGCCTCATACCTTAGCTCCACCACTTGTTTGCCCTCAAAAGTGTCCCTTGTTGTACCAGAAAATGTTGCTATAGCGCCAGCTTGTGGGGCACTGACATAGTTTATATACTTAGAGATGTCAATCGGGGTGTGCTCATCTAAGATCTCCACCAGAGTTTTCTCATCATCTACCATATCTGTAACCAAGCAATATGAAAAATTCCATTTAAAAAAATTACCCTTATACTATTTTTTTAATGGAAACAAGACTACTGGTGCAATCTTTGCCCCTCATCCCTTACTCTAAAAGTTTCAAGACCCACCAATAAAATGGAGAACAAATCTAATCTAATTCTACTCAAAGGACGGGTCCAATATTCACGCTCTGCCACCATACCCGATGCAAATAGCCTAGGACAAGGATCCTAAAGTGGGGCAACGGAGTATCAAACCTTGAGCTCATCCAGGGAGCAAAAGAAGGAAATGCATAGTTACTGCTACACCAATGATAGGTGGTTACTATTTTTTTTTTATTTACACCCTTTTGTGGAAATTGAAGAATATGGTATAATGGTCCAGACTTATACTAGCCATGTGAATTGGAATTGTCAGTTTCGTATACGACTAGTGTCTAATAAACCAAGTGGGGGGAAATTAGAATGACTGACACATCACAATCAAAAGAACACCCTTTTGGCTCTTGAAAAGTGGAAGAGGCAATTTTCAACAGCTAGTGAAGGTATTGAATCTATTGATTTGATTAACACAATAATAATAGTGATGATACAGAAAAACCAATTAGCAGAACTCATCTGTTCATACAGATTTCACAATCCCCAATTGAATGAGACAATTTCACAAACAGTATATCTGCAGACGAAAGTGCCCATGTTCTTTCTTCTTGTATTTGATTTTTTTTCCCTGGATTAAATAAACCCACAAAGAAAGAAATCTAAAAATTCAGTTTTTGGCATTTTCTCGTCTAAAGCTTTTCAACACTTCGTGACAGCAGAAAAGGAGTCTTTTTGTTTTCTGGGTTGAACAGAAATGGAGAGTTACATATATATATATATATATATATATATATATATAACATATTTAGATATAACAGGCGAATTAAACAGTTTACAATAGAAAAGGTGAAGGATTAAGGAGGTACCTGAATCACCGGGAAACAGAAGGAAAGAAGAATTAGCAGAAAACGTCTCAAAGCTCAGCAGTGCAAAAATGAAGTGGTGAAACTTAGGGATAGCTTTGGCCTGAATTCAGAGAATAAACTAATACATAAATGCTATACAATATCTTGCTTGTCCCTCTCGTTCGTCTTTTTCTCTACCCTTTTTCTCTACTCGAAACCCTTTTTCTTTCGGTTTGTAGCTTACTTGTTTATTGAATTATTAGTCCTCAAATTATAAATTTTTTAGAGATAGGTGCAAAAATAATATTTTTTAAAACTATTTTTTTATTAAATGATTGAAGTTTTATAAATTAGAAAAATTATTATTTATCACTTATTAACTGCAGTTTATCATTGATAAATTTGATGGTTTATTGCATACTAATTAATATTAATTAGCAATGATGTTTTAATGATAAACCGGTTTATCAAATGATAAATAATGATTTATTACTAATTAACCGCTATAAAAAAGGTCATTTCACCAAACAAGAAAGTTCAGGCATTTGGCTATTTATTGAAAACAAATAGCCAAAACCGACCATCTACCTACCTTTTCCTTTTTTTCTTAATACTCATTTTACCTTTTTTCTTAATATACGCATTTTACGATTTATCACATAATTTATGACAAATAAAATGTTATTCTCCTCGAGAAAAAAATTACATGATTTACCCTTTCTGTTTATAGTGTGACGTACATTTTCCCCACTATTAATAGGACTAATCTTTTTTGTTCAATTCTAAAAATAACGTTAATTTCGATAATTGTAAAATTTATTAGACATTCATATTATTCCATGTGGCAAAAGTTTAGAAACAAATATTTTTTTACTAGCTTTGAAATAATTGGTGTGATCATGAAACCATATATGATCGTAGGCTTTTGCAACGACAAGCCCTATGATGATGTTAATGCAATTGCAAAAAATATAGGGCAAAGAAGGTTTCAATCAAAATTTACAACATACCAAATCATTTTAACATTCCCAAAATTGCCAAACTCTGATATTCTCTGGAAGAAATTTCCTAACCCAATCAATCAAACACTTCCAATAACATTTAATAGAGTAACATACAAAAACAAGCCGATCCTCCAAACGTAAGTGGGAACTAAGGCAAACAAAAAAAATGCCTTCATCTTTAAAAAAAAAAAAAAAAAAACAAAAAAAACAAAAAAAACAAAGACAATTAAGAATAAAAAGGAAAAAAAGAAAAAAAAAAAAAAAAAAAAAACCTGTAAGAGGCCTTGTCACAATTACACAATGCCATGCTCTACCATTACCAAACATATAATACAATGAACAACTTGGCTAATTACATTAGTGATTTGGTGAGATCAAATGGGAGGTTCATTAGGTCCCCAAGGCTGCTCTGTCATCTGGCCCCGCCAACATGATCTGACATGTTACAATATTTGTTATTATGTATTTTCCAAGCAAGCACATGTAAAATAATAATAATAATAATTATTATTATTATTATTAGTACTATTATAACGATAAAGAAAGTTTTGAGATGCACGTACATTACAATCAAAAGCAAACCTCCTCGCAAGCATGAGAGCTGCATTTCGCTCTCTTTCTGATTCGAATGCTAGAACGAATGAAAGCCCTTTCTTTGCTTGCCAAAACAATGCCTGAGCCGCAGCATTTCCGCCACCTCGAACTCCACATAGCTGATAAAGAGTACAAAAAGGCATCATAGATGGTCAATAAAAGGAAATGGGGCGCAACAACTAAAGGCAGAATATAAAGGACAGTGCAGAAACCCATGCTTAGCGTCTGGCAGTAAATTCAATTCTTGAAGGCTCAGTTGTATGAAAATGAGATGAATTCACGTTTGGCAGTCATATTGCTTGCGCATGAATGCACAAAACGCATAGTGGACAAATCAAAGATGCATTTTGAGTAACAGGCAAAGCAAAAGAACATTTTGAGAATGAAGTATGGGATGAGCAATTCTGGTAATCTAAACTACCTGCATAGAAGTGGAATAGTATTCTTTAGCTACCGTTGTCTTTCCTTTGCAAAGCTTTATCCTCATCTTCCCAATGTGAAATACATGAATAGATTCCGATTGTTGATTAACCCCGTTCATCTGGGTAATCACCACCTGCCAAAGTAGCAGAAGTTAAGCACAAAACATGCAACTATGTGGACTAGAAAAAAGTAATAATAAAATAAAATATTTGCACATATTCAGAAAATGCAACTGAATACGTTAGTGTCATCAACATGACCATCAAAATTAAGCAAAACGTGCGCATAAGAAAAAACAGGATTCAAGTCTGAACTCTTTTAGGGATAAAGGGAGCAATTGTTAATAATGATACCAAACTAATAAGATTTCATAACATACATTAAACTCAACGTCATGTTTCCGGACAAGTGCCTCCACATAACTACCCAATCCAGCAGCTGCTCATGAAAATCAAATCAGTGTTTTTCCAAGTTTCAACATAGCACATACATAGAACATATAAAGATTTTGGAAATCTGAGATTAAAAGTAGAGAAGAATGGAGATGAATATCAAACCAGGATCGATTGCACCAGTGGTTGTCAGTGTCTTTGTCTGGCCTTCTGCAGTAATATCAACTTGCAAGATTCGTCCAACATCAAATGGCTCTGGAGCATAGACTAATTTGGTAGCTCCTGAGATAGGAAAGTTGAATGAGAGAAATTTATTGAATCATAAATAGAACTTGGGATAGTGTGAACTTCTCTCTCTCTCTCTTTCTCTCTCTAAGCACTAGTGTGCAACTTTGTATGACAACAGCATAAATATACAACCACTTTGCTTCCAGCAAAATACAGAAGTAGATGGATAGATCTAATTGAGGACTATAGGTCTCAAAAATTAAACAATCAAGTATGTAATTAGCTAGAAACTTTAGCAGAAGGCATACTCTAGCACATGAGGACTAAGAAACAAAATTGATATTGCAGGCTAAACTGTCTAGGAAAGGACTTGAAATTAGCTTAGCTAACTGCTTGATTGATTTTCTATATTTGCATTAGAAAGGAAGTTGTGATTCCAAGATTCATAGCATTTTTTAATCATCAGCTTCTAGCAAAGGAGAAAAACTGTGTAAGCTGCAGAATAAGCATCTAAAGACCATATCCTAGAAGCACATGTTTGTGAGCCCCAGCACCAGTCCCAGCCCCAGCCCCAGCACCAGCCCCAGCCCCAGCCCCAGCCCCAACAAAATAGACGAAAAAGACAAATAATGAACAAAATACCTGATATAAGCTCTTTTTTGCCACCTTCAGATGAGACGCGATACCATTGTATTGAACATTGAGAAAGATCTGGAGCGTTATCAGGGCAAGGTTGAATTTGCAAATAAGAACCTAGAGCTTCAACACCATCTAATTCGAATAACTGATTGTTCTCCATGCCTTTCTTATTGATTGCCAGCTGAAAAGACCATCAGGGAGGGATGAGAAGAATAGACACAGAGAAATGCTTACATGTCTCAGTACTTAGTAAAGTAAATGGAAAAATGTTTACCAACATAGCTACTACCAGATGGCACACATGCCGAGAAAAAAATAAAGGAAATACATCAAATGATCAAAAGGATAGCGACATCCAACCTGAACACATCATATGTTCAACTACTACAGTATAACCAAGTTAATATTTACAAATTTATTGCCAATACATCCAAAGTACAGATATCTTGAACACTCGTTTGGTTGCGTAATTGACAAAGTGTTTGTTTCCGCAAATAGGTGGCCCTAAAGAATAAGAAAACCTAAGAAATTCTGATCATAAACTTTTATGACTCCTATTTAGCAACACAAATGCTTCAACAGGGTTATCTATATTGGACAAAAAAATCCTGGAAACTCCATCAGAGATGATTAATATCTCCGTAGGTATTGAAATCTTCACATTTGACACCGTTCACCACTCTTTGGATCATGAAAAGTAACTAGCTGAACAGGAAAGGGTTTTGGGGGTCAACATTAAAGGCCATTACATCTAAGGTATACTTTGTGGCTTATAATTTGGTCATTCCCCTAAAGCCTATTCAATGCACCTAATCACTCGTCCTTCACATTTGGTGCCCGTGTTTGCTCACAATTTCCGCCACTTGTGCTCATTACTCCTTTACAGCTATCACCAATGCTCTCGCAGAAAAATAAGCGTACCTCTTTCTGAAGTCGAAGATAGTGCTTAGACTTCTCCGCAAGCTGTTTTCTCAATGCCTGGAGCTCGTGTTCCATGTCCATGACCTAGAAATTTATGTTCATTTCATGAGTTAATTAAATATCCATGGTTTTGTAAATTCAAAACAAGAACATATATAGTATCGTAAATCTATATCTATCCATCCTAGAAACGGAAATATCCATCATCATGTTGAGTCTATAACACTTTGTTAAGAAATCCACTTGCAAGAATGAATTTTTGCGGTAAATGAAGAAGATGGAATTAATGGAACAAGATAATTAGCGAAGAAATTATTGCCATCCAATAGAGTTTCAAGCACCCAAACAATTATTGAGGTCATTTCTGCAATTCCTACGATGAGAAAAATTATTAAGAGACTTAATCTGGCATAGACCTTGCTAGGCTGATGCAGCATTTTAATTCGCCTAGCCTCTTGAACCTCCTTCATTAACTCCTCCAAGTCCTACAGTCCTCACATAAATATACTCGTCAGAATACAGAATGAATGATATAAAAATTTGCAGTAATCAGTTACAATTAAAGCACCAGAAAATGTTAAACATGAAACAACCAAGAAAATAGTATTGTTTGAACGCAATGAGCTTTCAGTTCTTTTGAAATCAAGAATATCAAAAATCCCGCCACACAATAAAAAGAATCACACTAGACTATGCAAAATCAAAATGTGGGAATAAACCAAATCGTGTGACAAATGAAAAAAATAACCTTAGAAAACTAAAATAGATGCAAAATACAAACCTGCTTCCCTGAAGCTCGAGACATTCTCTCTTGTTCTTGAAGGGCCTCTTCTACTCTCTGCACTGCTGCTCTAGCAGCTTCAATTTCAGCACGAGCAAAAGCTCTTTCCTCGTCAACAAGTTTTCTAGCATCTTCTGAAGCCTACAAATCAATAAGAAACACTCAGTTTAAGAAATACTCTAGGAAATATCTAAAGAGTTCTAGACATTACCGTCTTCAGCAATCAAAAGAAAAGGGAAAAAAGACAACTATGGGCATTTTTCAGCAAGCAATAATCAAATCAGAAATTTGAGCAACAAGATAGTAGACATAATTACTATACAAGAATAAAATAAGTTTTTATTTCCAAACATCAGCTTTCTAACCAAAGGAGTAGACTAGTTTCGTACAAGCAACTTTTCAATGTTTTAATAGTTAATCCATTTGACAGTTGGACAATTACCACAAATATTGAATCACAAAACCATTAAACTCTGATCTGAGAAGTTTTAAGAATAATTAAAATGTATTTAACGTTGTAAGTAGAACTTTCCAGTCCATAACATGACAAAAAGACTCATCACTCATCAGCCAAATTTTATGAACATATTCAATTACCTGCTTAAGAAAATTCGCTAGCTTCTTCACTTCTGCCTTTTCTTGCATCAGCTCTCCTTCTCTTTGAGTCAATTGAATTGCTAAAGCCTCCACCTAGAGAACGTAAAAATGGTAAAAGCAAGATAAACTACATAGATTGAGAGAAACATTCTGAAGGAGAGCATATATGTAAATTTTAGTATGAGATGGGATCAAAAGATAGAATACTCAATTTCATGGCTCTTTTTTGTGTTCGTTTCTTTTTCAAACTGTAGCAAGTCATTAGTTCTTTAGGTTCTGTCTCGATTTTCAGTCATCTTTTGATGTTTTGGAATGAATTCATCAAAATTCTTCATATCAACATCCCCCTTTTTTTGGTACCTTTGATTAATTGTGTGCTTACTTTTATGAACCAACAAAATACCTATAGTTTGATACATAATAAATTGTCTTTCATTTTTTCTAGACAGACGAACTGGTTCAATAAGTAATATTCCCTTTTTAATCAATTCTGTAAGAATGAAATTTTTCTAAATCATTAAAAGATCCAGATTTATTTCTCCCCTTTGAATAGAGGCTATAGTAATTTCTCTTAGGTTCATCAGTCTAAGCAGGGAACAATATACTTTGATGTACTTTGATGTTATCGATCATTTTTTTATTTAAAGAATCGTCCTATCCTTTGTTCAAAATATTTTCACCAATTTTTGAGCAACAAAACTCTTTATCCACTTCGTATCAGAAAACTATAATACGCTTTTCTGAAAGTTGTTTTCCTTTGTTCCAAATATTTTCACCAAGTTTGAGCAACAAAACACTTTATCCACTTCGTATCAGAAAATTATAATACGCTTTTCTGAAAGGAAGAAACCAATAGCAAAGTCACAAACTTACCATTGCTATTGCTTCCTCAACATCATCCTTGTTTCTACCAGCCACACGCCCTCTCAAGGACTCCAGTGCATCTCTGAGCTTCTTCAAAAGAACATGCTTTTCCAATGAAGCTGCCTCTCTAAGTCTGGCCTGTGCATCACCAAAAAAAAAAAAAAAAAAAAAAAGGTTTAGACTGTTGTATTTCAATATGCTAAACTCTCTTACATTACAAGTCTACTTTCCTGTATGTAACAGATACAACAGAAGAAAGAAGCATTAGTTACATACTATAAAGCCGAAAGTTTCTCAAGATATTTACATGGCTATATGTGACACTCTTATACAATTCCATCTTAAAGAGGACATCCATTGCTCCATAATGAAAAAATCTATAAACTATATTAACTTACAGTCACCTAGTCCAACTCTGCTTTAATTTATTTAAAACCACAACAAGAAACATTGCTTTCCAATACCATTTCCCAAGATTATCCTCATCTTTTGATCAGGTTGTACTAATATAGCTATTACTAATACTATATGATACACCTTATTGCCAAATTATTATCCCAACCACAAATCCATATAGAACTAAGCACAATAAATAAATAAATAAGAGAATTTCAACCTCTTCAGACAATTTAGCAGCGGCAGCCAAGCCCTTCTCGAATTTACTGGCAAGGTCGCGAACTGAGAGCCGTTTCTGCTGCTCCAACAGCTGTGCTGTCTCGCGCGCAACAACCTCCTTCATTGATAGCACTCTGGGATCATCCTTTCCCTCCACAATCTGATTGTTTGCTCCGAGTTTGTAATTTGGAAACCGACTAGAAGCAAAAATTACATCGGCAGAAACCGCAGGCACGGCCTCTCTTTGCATTGTATCACCAAAATCCCTACTTACCCTCGTCATTGTTCTGAACAAGTTACCCTGTCAATCACCGCAAACTACACTTGCTCAAAAAATAGATTCAACAACATAAATACTTCCAAAAAAAAAAAAAAGCTACTTCATTTTTCACAAATCCCTTATAGCTCATTATGATCGCTTATCCGAAATTATTGACTAGAGATTTCTACATTCAGCTTAGAACTACCAAAATACAGCTCAATTTAAGGAAGTAAAAAAATAATCTAGATTTTCCCTCCATGCAACCAAACAAACCGAAGTCCATAACAAAAATTCCAAAATTAAGCTAAAACAACTATCACAAGCACACCCAAATACAAGAAAATTAAGCTAACCTTAAGTCAAAGACCAGAAAATGAGAAACACAAAAACCCTAGTTCAGAAATTTTCCAGTTTTTCCTCTTTTCCTTAGTACAAAACAAAAGTGAAAAATGTAGACAAAAAGGGAAACTTGGACTTACAGATCACAAAACAAAACAAAACAAAAAAGTAGTTGCCAAAATGAAGAATGAGGTTTTGAAGATTCTTGGATCAGATGCAACAACTCTCCAATTATAATTGTTGCTTATCCAAAAATCGACCGAAAAACTTGTTGTTCTTGCAATTCTAGAGAGAGAAAGGAGTTTTGCTGAGAGAGAAAAGAGAGAATTTGGAAAAGATGTTTTGGTGTTGCTTTTTGAAAAGCAGAGGGGAGAGAGTGATAGAAGGAAAAGCCGCCCACCGTTGTTCGCTGTGGCTAATTTTTGATTTTTTTTTCTTTTTCTATTTTAATTTTTTATTTCGTATTCTAAATGAAAAATGGAAAATATATATATATAAATTAAAATAAATATTGAAGATCGTTTACCGAATGAAAAGGACCACAGAGGGACGGTTGAGATTTGATGTTGAGGCATGGGATGTCATGCTTATGCTTTAATCTTCAAACTCTTTTTTGGCGGGTCCCACGTGTACCTTCCTCTCTCTAATTATTTTTTTTTTCTTAAACTTTTTTTTCTTCTAATTTCTTTTAATTAAACTCATTCAAACTCAGGTTTTTAAATTGTTTTTCTAATCATTTTCGGATGAAACTCTCTCAAGTCTCAATATGATAAAGGCCGGATTTGATTTCAAAATATTACTCCGGCCGACTTTAAGAGACTTCTATAATAAAAAATGCTAATTAATTTATCGAAATTTCTTTTTTTTTCCCTTCTAATTTCTTTCAATTAAACTTCATTCAAACTCCTTTACTTTTAATTTATCTTTTTATTTTTCTATTCATTTTTAGAAGAAACTCTCTTCTAAACTATGATAAAAGGCAGAATTTGATTTCAAAACATTACTCCGGCCGACTTTAGGAGACTTCTAAATGGTACTAGTTTGACACCTTCAATGTTTATTTTGTTAATTATTATAATCAAAAGTGCTAATTAATTTATCAAATTTTAATTGCAAAACTTGATGTGGCAATTAATGTATTAGGCCTTGTTCAGTTCATTAATTTAAGTTTTTAATTTGAGCTGAGATTTAATTTTATGTGAGAATTTTTTACTATAGTACAATAAGTTAGACGTAACTTTTTGTGAGAGTTTTCAACTGTAGTAAAATTAAAATTAAAAACTCGAATCGATTAAATGAAAGAGGCTTTTGTCGTGTTTGGAATTGTTCTTGTTTTTATTTTTCACGTATTTTGAGAAAGAAAAAATGAAAACGATTCTAAAACGGCGTTTGGCACAATTAAAGATAAAAAACAGAAATGAAAACGATTTTTTAGTTTAGTGTAAAATGGAAGAGAAATGAAAAATGACTTTTAGTCGTTTTTCATTTTTTATTTTCATTTTTTCCTCTCTTGAGCACAGAGAGAGACATTAATGAGTTTTTTTATACTGACAATAATCTCTTGATAAAACTATCAAACGAATTTTTAAAAATAATTTCTAACATATTTTTAAAAATAATTTATGTCTGAGATTAAAAACGTTCTTATTTTTATTTTCATATAAAAAATAAAATTATTTTAAAACGAATTTTAAACGTACATGTTATCTTTTTAAAAAGATGAAATAAAAGGCAACCAATAAATAAATAAATAGCATTGGATGATAATTGTTAGTTAGACAAGAACCGATTCTTACATCATTTATTAGTTGTAACACAATTAATTGGATTTAACTAATATTTATGGTGTAATAATTGTGTTTTAGTTTTTACTTTTTGCCGTGATAGACCGTTATAGACTCGACCGACCGCTTACTGAACTGAAAAGGCCTAAGTAGGGCCTAAATATGACGGAATTACCCCTTGATTGTAGTTGACTTTAATATCCATTTATTTTATCACTTTCTCAAACTCAAAATGAAAATAATAATCTTTTTATTCCTTCCCGCTCGCAACCCTCAAACTTCACGCCTGTTTTTATTATTAATATTTCTTTTTTTTGGCTGAGACAAGTGATCGTGCGTGATTAGACGCACAATAAATAATGTAAAATCAGCCAAAATAAGAAAAATAAACAAATATTGATCTTCAAAGATTTGCAAAGATTTAAAGGGGTAATATTGATCTTCATATTAATGTCGCCAAAAATTAATAGCCACATAAATTCTTATTTGTTTGTTAAAGTTTGTATTGAATGTGCATTCTGCAAATACTAATAAGCTATTCCACTGATAAAGCACACAACAAACATGTACAAAGAAAATATGGATATTTCATGGGAAACATCGGTCCCGTTCACTTCACCGATTCGAGTTTAGAATTTAAGTTTTACTACAGTAAAAAATTCTAAAAAACAGTCACATCTAACTTTTTTACTACAGTAAAAAGCTCTCACATAAAATAATATCTCAACTCAAATTATAAACTCGAATCAACAAAATAAACAGGCTCATATTAACCATCTTATATGTAATGAAAACCTATATAATATTATTTTTTTCCTTTTTTTAGGCGCAGGTGATAAGTCTCTCCCAAATCCACCACAACACATGTATCCGCAAGTTTTATTTGTGACCTCATGGCGACAATGGCAAACCTACGTCTTCTAAGGTTTTGGGAAAATTGTGGCATGACCTTTTCATTGAATTGATTAAATATATAGATTACTTGATATCTTAAGCCCCGTTCATTTCGCTGATTCGAGTTTAGAATTCGAGTTTTACTACAGTAAAAAGCTCTCACAAACAATCACATCTAACTTTTTTGCTACAGTAAAAAGCTCTCACATAAAATCACATCTCAACTCGAATTAAAAACTCGAATCAGTGAACTAAACGGGCCCTTAATCTACAATTTAAATAATCCAAATATTGAAAAAGAATAAACTAACTAAATGAGAAGCTACCTTAGATAATTACAAAGAAAATAAAAAATCTAAATAGAAGTATTTACATATTTAAATGAAATAAATACAAATTTAGGTAATATCTCCTCTACGCCTCTGCAAAATGGAGCTCTAAGAGAAGAGTCCAGTCTAGACATGCAGATGAAGAAAACGTGCACGAGGTATAAAGGTTTAGTAAGAGCATTAACCAGTAGATATTAAGAGGATACTTGAGCGACCCAAAGAGCGTTGACTTAAATTTGCTCACGAATGAAGTGATAATCTAAAGCAATATGTTTCATGCATGAATAAAAAAAACAAAATTAGAACAAAGATGAGTTGCACCAGCATTGTCGCAATAGATAACCAGTTGTTGTGGCAGATAAACACCAAGTTCAACAAGAAGATAACATAGCCAACATATTTATGGAGTAGTAGCAGCAATTTCGCCTAATCATCCTTGTTGCCATAAAGAATATGAAGCTCTAATAACCAAAAAAAAAAAAAAAAGAAAAGAAAAAAAAAAGAGAGGTTTTAGAAAAATTATGGCACGGCCTTTTCCATTGAATTAATTGAATATATACATACAGATCACAAGATCGAACCTATGGTTCAAGGGTTATTTATGAAAGATTAAAAAAAAAAACTAAACTATCGCATAATTATAAAGAACATTTTAGGATAGAAATTGTATTTTTCACTACCAATATGAACGGTTACTTTAACTATAGTTTTTCAAATGTCTCATTTATCAGCGTCTATTGTACCACATATCGTAGTAGTGCTCCTACTCACAAATCTAACTATTTGAAGAATAATTTCTTAATATAAAAGTTTCTTAAAATCCGATTTTAATTCCTATGTGTTTTATAATTTCAATCACAATTTAAAATTTTTATTATAGTATTTTTTTAACAAAATTTAAATTCAAAATTTTTAATATAATTTTTTTATATATAAATTCAACTTTCAATTCTCAACTCAAGTTCTTAATTTAAACGCAGATCGAATAGAAATGCGTCATTTTGTTTTCTTTTTGTTGGAAAAATGGCTTGTTAAGACATGTTAAAAGCTCATTTTGAGGCTCATATTGGAATGAGGTCCAATTGAATTTTGAGACGAGTCTTGATGGATTTGCGTTCCCCATCACAAGGAGATCAAAATCGGATATTCATACACTCAAAATGGATTTCAGGTAAATGAGAAATTGATGCTCTAAGTATGTCACTTAGAATAGTTAAATTAGTTGAAAATTGTAAAATCTCACATTGGTTAGGGATGAAGCCTTGGTGGTGTTTATAAGTGATTGCATTAGTCTAGGTAAGCATGTATATCAGAGATGCTCTCTTACGCGCATGGGGTGCGAATCATGGTCTCGAGGGTTAGGGGCCCAATGTATGCGTCCGTATCCTGCGGACAAGAATGCCACATCAAAAAGCCCACTATGTACGGGTTTTGTTTTGTAGTTTTCTTTTTATTTTTTCAACTTAAATCCAAAATTTATTTTTGAAGAAATTTGGATTGGTAACTGTAGCATTTGTGCTTACCTTAACTCTGCATTAGTGTAGGGTTTATGGCTTAGGTTTAATTGTGTGTTTATGAGCATAAAAACTCTGAATATGGACGTATCTTGGAGCATGTTCATCAGGAGCTCTAACCTCTGATTTAATCTCCATTAATCCGTGAATAAATTTAAATTTTTACACCATTATGGCATGGTGTAACACCTAAATTTTGGAGCCTCTATAAAGGCCACTCTCCACATGAACATGACACCAACACAGAACACTCTTCTCCACTCTCTCTCGTTTTTCTTTGAGTTCTTTTGCAGTCTTTGTAGTACGAGTTCGATGATAGAGGGAAGGTCCAAGTTCTAGTTCGCTGAACGGTTTTTATAGTGCTTCGCGTTACCATCGTTGTTATTGTATCATAAGAATCAGATGTTTAACGAACCTCAAATACTAACCGAATGAGATAAATCTATTTTAAAGAAATCATAATTCACTGTCTCGATATTCTTATCGATTCGTTTTTCTAAATTTAATAGAAAAGTTAAATGTATGTTTTAATAATTCTTAATATATTATTCTTATTTATTTATATGGTTTTATTTGCATTATCCATATTATTGCCTAACACATTTCGTCAGTTATTTCGGAAATTCCTTAGCTCACCGATAAAACCGGAAGAAACTATGACTCGACTCAAGTCCAATTGTCTTACGATGGCCAGTTTTCACTTCTCCACTTGGTAAACTTCAGTCCTACCAACCCCTTTCTGAATCTCTCTCTCTCTCTCTCTCTATACATGTTATTGTTACAACACCATGCTCACCAGAAACTCTTCCCACTCTCTGTCCTCCCACTCAAATCCAAACTGATTCAATCCCAACTCCAAACCCACATTCCAAACCTTCCATTTCACACCCTCCAAACCCACTCCGATCTCCTCCAACTCTGCTCCGCCGCGCAGTCTCTTCGCCAAGCCAACCAACTCCACGCATTTGCCCTCCTCAATGGCTTCCTTCCCCGCAGCCTCTCCCTCTGCGCTTCCCTCATTCTCCGCTACGCCGCCTTCGGAGCTCCCTCGATTTCCCGGCGTCTCTTCGAGCAGAGCGTCGGGTTCTGCCGCACCGCGTTTCTATGGAACACTCTCATTCGGGCTTATTCCGTTGCTCGGCATGGAAGTCGTGATGGGATTGGAGTTTACAATGAAATGGTACGTAATTGCGTTGTTCGTGATGATCACACTTTTCCCTTCGTTCTTAAGGTTTGTTCGGATTATTCGGAGTTTCGTAAAGGTTTGGAGATTCATGGGTGTGTTTTTAAACTGGATTTTGATTCGGATGTCTTTGTTGGGAACACTTTGTTGTCGCTTTATGGCAGCGGTGGGGACTTGGAGAGTGCGAGGAAAGTGTTCGACGAAATGCCTGAGAGAGATGTCGTGTCTTGGAATACGGCTATTGGGGTGTTTTCTGTTAATGGGTTTTATTTGGAGGCGCTTCGATGTTATAAAGAAATGAATTTGTCTGTTTTTAAGCCTAATTCTGTGAGCGTTGTCTCTGTGTTGCCGGTTTGTGTTGACCTTGAAGATGAGGTTATGGCGAGTCAGATTCATTGCTATGTTGTGAAGGTTGGTTTGGATCTTAACGTGACTATTGGCAATGCTTTGGTAGATGTTTATGGGAAATGTGATCATGTGAAGGCCTCGAAGCAGGTTTTTGATGAAATGGTTTGCAGGAATGAGGTCTCTTGGAATGCAGCCATTACTAGTCTTGCTTATGTTGGGCGTAATAGCGACGCCTTGGATATATTTAGGTCAATGATTGGTTCGGGGGTTAGTCCAAACTCTATCACCATTTCGAGCATTCTTCCGGTTTTAGTTGAACTAGGATTTTTCAGAGCTGCCAAGGAAATTCATGGTTTCAGCTTAAGAATGAGCATTAGTTCCGATATTTTCATTTCCAACTCATTGATCGATATGTATGCAAAATCAGGCTGTTCAACGGCTGCATCCAATGTCTTCGAGAATATGGTGGAAAAGAATATAGTCTCTTGGAATGCTATGGTAGCTAACTTTGCTCAAAATAGGCTAGAGTTGGCAGCTATAGGACTTTTAAGACAAATGCAAGCTCATGATCAAACTCCCAATTGTGTCACTTTCACAAACGTTCTTCCGGCCTGTGCACGGTCAAGTTCCCTTCATCCTGGAAAAGAAATCCATGCAAGGGCAATCCGCAAGGGTTCGGCATTTGATTTATTTGTCTCCAATGCCCTGACAGACATGTATGCAAAATGTGGCTGCCTTTCTTCTGCTCAAAATGTCTTTAATATCTCCAAGAGAGACGAAGTCTCTTACAACATACTAATCGTAGGTTATTCTCAAGCAACAGATTGCTCAGAATCTCTTAGGTTGTTTTCAGAAATGAGGCTTGCTGGAATGGTGCATGATACTGTTTCCTTCGTGGGAGTGATATCAGCTTGTGCAAATCTTGGTGCAATCAAGCAGGGCAAAGAAGTCCATGGTTCTTTAATAGTAAAGCATTTTCACACTCATCTTTTTGTAGCAAACTCACTCCTAGACTTCTACACCAAATGCGGAAGAATCGATCTTGCCAGTAAGGTCTTTGAGCAGATTCCAAACAAGGATGTAACCTCTTGGAACACCATGATTTTGGGATATGGAATGCTAGGGGAGCTAGACACTGCAATTAGCCTTTTCGAAGCAATGAAAGAAGACGGTGTAAAATATGATTCGGTGTCATACATCGCAGTTTTATCAGCTTGTAGCCATGGAGGGCTAGTTGAAAAGGGTAAGAAATACTTTGAGCAAATGCAGAGTCAAAACATTGATCCAACACAAATGCACTATGCATGTATGGTTGATCTCCTCGGCAGATCTGGCCTCGTGGAAGAGGCAGCTGAGCTCATTAGAGGCCTGCCTATGGTCCCGGATGCTAATGTGTGGGGCGCTTTGCTTGGGGCATGCAGAATCCATGGAAATGTGGAGCTTGGGACCTGGGCAGCAGAGAATCTGTTTAGGCTAAAGCCTCAGCATTCGGGGTACTATATACTTCTTTCGAATATGTATGTAGAAGCTGGGAGATGGAAAGAGGCAAATGCAATTAGGGAATTGATGAAGTCGAGGGGAGTGAAGAAGGGCCCTGGTTGTAGTTGGGTTCAGATTGGGAACCACTTTCATGCTTTTGCTAATGGAGAGAGACTAGAGGACTTAGATTCTGGTATTTGGGATGCGGAATCCTTGTAGTCTTCAAGGTTTAAGTTTGAGGGCAGCTCATATATATACGTAGTATATTCTCATATATATATATATATATATACGTAGTATATTCTTTTTGCTTTATAGCTTGGGCTCAGTATTTTTTGGCAGAAAAGAAAGGGGGAAAAAAAAAAACACCCAAAAGGGGCCTTGGCGATCATGTTAATTGATACGTTATATCATTACACTTTGGTGGAGAAAACAAAACAATGCTGAAGGCTACTTCTTGCAGTGACACTGTTGGAAGAAGGGAGGAAAGTATGGAAAGTTGGGATTAAGAAAAGAGTTAAAAAAAAAAAAAAGTTATTGAACAATTACTGTCCTAGGAAATAAACAATTACTGTCTCGAGCTGTATTTTTATACAATGCCGAATTGAACCTGCGATTTTCCAAACGCAAGCCTGAGGTGTATAGCTGAAGTCATTATTGCCGAAATCTTCAAAGTTCTAACAAAGTTGATTGAACTACTCTCAAAGCTTTTTTGTATAATATACGAGGATGACAATTTACTGCATTTTTTTATGCAAATAATTATTAATTCATTTGTTATCTATCAGTAAAAACAAAAAGTACCACCTCTGTCATCAGTACTCCTTAAGAGAAATGGTAACAGCTCGGATGAGCTATGCACAACCAGTTATACTGGTGTACTAACGTTTAAGAACCAGTCCAGGTTTCATATTAATGTGCAGTTGTCATTTTTCTTTTTGTGAATAATATCTTTAGCAAAGAAATGATGCATTTGAAACTCGTTTCAAAATAATTTTATTTTTTGTATAAAAATGAAAATGAAAACGTTTTCAATCTCAGACAGAAATCATTTCTGAAAATGTATTTAGTAATTTTATTCTGAGATTGTTTCAATATAAGAAAAAACAGAAATGCCGTTTGGTATATTGATCCTAAAAATTTTCTTATTAAATCTTTCTTTGTTCCCCATGGGTTTTGGTGATATATTCTTAATTTCCACTTCTTTCCCTCTCCACAAAACGCTCTTTCACCCTAAAAAAAGATAAAAAATCCCTACGAACTCTTCTCCTTCGATGGATTTCTTCAAGTCCGTCTTTTCTCCTTCAATGGATTTCTTCTAGTCCGTCTTCACTGACGAACCCTTGGAGCCCTCTGACTCCGACGAGCCCCAAAACGACAACGCTTCCACCTACCGCAAGGATCTCGAGGAGTTTGGCTCCGGCCCGAGGATGGAGACGACAGTGATCCGTGATGCCTCCTCCTGCGCCGTCAAGGACCTCCCGGCATCGCTCGAGATTGGCGCCACCGTCACTGATGAGTCGCTCGAATCGGTCGGCCAAGTGATCGACGACATTGGAAGCTCCGTTTGGAAATCGACGGCCGATATCATTTCTCAAGGCAGGCATTCGCTTTTGGCCGCCGCCGATGAAGACTCTGACGCTTTTGGCCGGCCAAGATAATTTTTTCTGAACAGTGTTGATCACAAGAAAAAGGTTCAAATTTGGTGAGGTTAGAGGAAATATTGAGGAGAAAATGAAAACGGGAAAAGGAAAACAACTCAAATTCATTTTCAAAAATTGGGTAATTTTGTGAGAAAGGCCAAAAACGTTGTCATTTTTGTTTTGGGTTGAAGATTGCTCCAAACGCAATTCTCATATGATTTCCATTTTTTTCTCCTCAAAAAATGTGAAAACGTTTTCAGAATGGATTCCAAACAGGCACGAAAAGTTAAATAAAGAACAAATTTTATTTTTACCCCCTGAATTGTGGTCTCTTTGTCACTTTGCCCCCCGAACTTTGAAAATCGGTCTACGCACCTCCTAAACTTTGAAACGTTAGTTACTTTGCCCCTTCTGTTTATTTGACTAACGGATTTGATGATGTGGCAATTATTGAAGGAGTGGTTTAATAAATTATTTGTATAAATTCCCCCTCAAGTATGTATCATATTTTAAAATGTCCCATAATCTATCAAAACACATCAAAATGTCCATTTATGGAAAACATAATAAAATAACAGTTTTATTGATGTCTCATGTCACTAAAAATTAATTAGACATTAAATTCTAATTGAATAAATTAAAGTAATTAAATATTAAAAATAATAATGAATAATAAATATAAAAATGCTTCACTTCAAAAAATTTTAAAAATTAAATAAATTGAACTATTTAAAAAAAAAATCAAAACCTAAAGGAAAAGAAGATTTTTTTTTTTTGAAAAACCTTATTACTCTGAAAAGTGCATATGAAGACACATTTTTCCTTGAAGAGGAATTTTTTGATTTTTAAATTGTCTTTTAGGATTTTCATTTTTTTTTTAAATATTAGTTGATATAGCATGTCAGTAAAAATTCAAAAAATTTAAAAGACAAGTAAAAAATATAAAAAAAGCGGATAAAAAAACCTTCTTCCTCTTTTAATATCAAAAAACCTTCTACCTCTTTTAAGTGAAAAAATTTGTTTTAATTTGCACTTCGAGAACTGAAGAGGTTGAAGGTTTTTTATTTTTTTTCCCTCTTTTCTTTTGGGTTTTTTAATTTTTGCAAAAAAATTCTTTAATTTTTGGATTTTTCAAAGTGAAGCATTTTTATATTTATATTTATGATTATTTTTTAATATTTAATCACTTTTATTGATTAAATTATACTTTAATATCTAATTAATTTTAATGACATGACACATCAGTAAAATTATTATTTTATTATGTTTTTCAAAGATTAGGGGTATTTTAATGTGTTTTTATAGATCATGAGACATTTTGAAATATGGTATATACTTTATGGGATATTTATACAAATAATTTATTAAACTACCCCTCCAATGGCTGCCACCTCATCAAATCCATTAGTCAAATAAACAGAAAGGGTAAAGTGACTAACGTTTCAGAGTTCAGGTGCTGCGCAGAACAATTTTTAAAGTTCAAGAGGACAAAGTGATAAAGAGACCAAAATTCACGGGGCAAAAATAAAATTTATCCTATTTATAAAATAAAGAGAGATATTTTCCGATCTCTTTACTCGGCAGAACAGTTTTGGAATAACTTATTGGATCAGTAGCATTTGTTGTTCCTACATATTCTCAAGAACTATCCCAAATATTTACTAACAAATAATGTGAATTAATTTTATAACAATTGCATTCATAAACGTCAATATCATGGATGATGTCTTTTATTAATTGTATTGTTATTAGTTATTACTTCTTTGTATTCCAAGTGGTCAATGACATTAGCAAGTGATAGTATTTTGGTTTATATATTCTTCTTTATATTGAAACATATACATATAAGATTCATTTTGTCTTGTTCTGGCCCGATATATATTGAAGAATGTATGTACTTTACTATATTGAATTCGTCAATGAAGAAGGTACGAGATTGGTTTTACAACGGATTTTACAATGAATGTGCACTAAAAATTATTTTATTAGCAAAGGAAGAGTAAGATATGTACAAGCTCAAATTTAGATATTTTACTAACTTGTTAAAATTGGACACCATAACAATTGCCTCAACTAGTTTAAATGATTAATACAAAACACACTAGGAAAAAAAATTAATTACATGAAACTGATACAATTAAAGCATCTAAATACTAACGTTTTATTGAATCAGTGTACCATGTAAACAAAATGACGTTACACCAGTCTACTGAATAACTCTTTATTACTCTTATGTTAGAAAAGCAGGCAATTTCGTACTAATGATGTGTAACACCCCTAAGTAGGAGTTACGCAATAAGAATAAAATACGAGAGACAAACGAAAATAAAAATAAAATATAACCCTCAAAATATAAACGACAAGTGCCCATGGGACTTTCAACGAAAAACTCATAATTAAAAATCACAAATCGACAAAGAATATAAAACTAGAAATCCACAATACAATGTAGCACCAAGTAAAATACTTAAATAATACAACCATCATCAGTCACATCCCTATCGAAACAACCCAGTTCAGAATCTTACATAATGGAAGAAGAAGACCAAAAGAAGGGATAGGTCTCCAACACGTGCGCACTGTGAGACGTCTACTCCTCGTCCGAAAGAATACACTGTACACCGCCTGGGAATGGGAAGAGAAAAGGGGTGAGCATAGAATGCTCAGTAGGATGACTAATACTCACCTTTAGTTTTATGTATTTTTCCAATTAAACCTGCATGGTTAGTAGTTTTTATGTTTTATGTATAATGAGTCAAATTATCAGTGTCAGTGAGATAATTCAATCCGTACGCTCGTGACGAAAAACCCCCGAAGGGCGCTGTGATTCAGAGGCACTGATAGCAAGGAGCTCTATCTCGGGGTCCCTACTAGATCAGTTCTTGAACCACAGGCAAGGGTGAACTGTCGTTTCGAGCCCTCACCAAGACGCAAGCACTGTACAATAACCTTGGGGATTCTCAACCCCAGAGAGCGTCATCACCTCTCCACTCTTTTACCTTTTTGGGTCCATACCCAGGGATGGTGAACGGCCACACCTACTGTTAGTACACTATCGTGTCCGGTTTACATTCTCCTAACCATGCTTTTGTGTCAGATTCCAAACTTATGTCAAATCTCTTGACCATGCTGTACAATACAGGACGGGCCCCTTAATGGTTTTGTTCAAGTCATATCGTATAACAGTAAAAAAGAAGTTTAATGTCCAATTTCATTCTCCTCATATTTAACAAAGTTAATTAAATTAAATAAAATTCCACAAAAGTTAAGTAATAGGACCCCTACCTCAAAACGGATCCCGGATTGTCAATCGGAAGTCAGAAAGTTGAGAAACGAAGCTTTGCCGGAATCCGGCCACGGCGGTGGCGGTGCGGCGACGGAGCTTCCCGGAGAAGAATCCCGCGGCGTACTTGGGTCCTACCCCCCCCTAAATCGATGGTTCTGAATCCAATGGCGGTGTCAATTTTACCAAATTCGGCCTCTAACAACTCGGATTGAGATCCTCAATTCCTGCCGAATTTCGAGCCTTGAATCTTTGTTTTTCAGCCATGAATCTTCAAAATTTATTGAGGGCTTTCATTACCCGTGAGATTCTGAGCATTTTGACACCAAGATCACGAGGATCCAACGGCTAGTTCACCGGAACCATCCTCCCATTTTTCTCACGGCGGCGGCGGCTCGTTTTCCAGCAAGGCGGCGACAGTGACCACAGCTGGTAGCCCAGGACGACTCACCGACTCCTTCTAAAGCTAATGGGCTGGGCAGTGTCGTTCACGGCGGCCGAAGAAGGGAGATCCGAGGGCGGCGGCGCTCCGGTCAGAATCAAGCCGTGCTGCTGGTATAGTTTTCTTCGTCTCTTCGCTCTGAGTCTATTGGGACCAGAATCACCTCGATCGGACACCGGACAGCGAAGATATCACGATCGGAAGTTTGGGTGTTTTTCAAAACTTTGGCCGGTGAGTGTGGCGGCGTCCGGCGGAATTGGCGGCTGGAAGACACCAATCCGGACTCAGCTCGACGAGATCTTTCCAACGAGTCGGGAGGTGTCAAAAACGGACGCCGAAATCTCGCCGGAGGTTGGTCGGTCGTGCGTGGAGAAAGAGAGAGAGAGAAAATGAAGAGAGAGAGAGAGGGAAAGTGAGGGTTTTCTATCTGGTGAGGATGAGACACACCCAAGTGGCACTAAATAACAGGTTAGGCATGCTGACTGTCAAAATCTTTATTTTTGACCCCTATATTTTTTTTAAATTTAAATTCTGACCCAGATTTCTAAAATTTTCCCACTTAAATCTTTAAAAATTACAAATTGACCTCAAATAAATTTTAACTTGCAATTAACTAACATTTAAGTTTTAGAAAAGATAATAAATAAATAAATAAACGAATAAAGCATTACAACACTAATATTACACGTCCATGTTTAGGCCGAAATTGTCGGGTGCGTTTGGAATTGGTTCCAAAACGTTTTTTTTTTTGTATGAAAATGAAAATGAAAACGTTTTTATTTTTATTTTGGAATCATTTCTAAAAATGCGTTTGGTAATTTTATTCTGAGATTGTTTTCTGTTTTAAAAAAACTGAAACTGTGTTTGGTAGTTTAATTTTTAAAAACATGTATACTTTTTTTAAAATGTGAAATGTCATTTATATACTTCTATTTATTTAATTAAAATTTTAAAAACAATAATAAAAATATTTAAAACTTTTAAAAATTGAAAAAAAAAAAAACCTTAAAACCAATAACCAAACACAAATCGCAAGTTTTTCTTCTCTGCTTCCGAGTTCTGCCTTTCCTTCCCTTCCCTTTCCATAGCTCATAGCTCCACTTTGGCAAGAAACACAAAGCGAGAGTGACATGGAAGAAGAAGCCACGGCCATGGAAGTCGAGGAACATCCTCACTCCAATCCAAGCTCTTCCAATCGGGTCGGACTCAAAAACTCCATCCAAACAAGTTTCGGAGAAGAATACCAAAATTAAACAACTTCTTCCCCTTCATCAAAAACCCAGATCTACCAAAATTAAAATTAAAATCACATATCAAAACCAACCATTTCTAGTTATTCAATGAAACCAAACAGATTAATATCTCAAAATCAAATTCTGAGTTCAGGAGGTGCGTCGCGCGGGTGGGATCGGTGGCTGCAGATCTGGGCTCGCCGGAGATGAGTCGCATGGGGGTGGGGCTCGTCAGGGCTGGGACTCGGTCATTTTTTTCCCCATCTAAAACCAGAAAATTGCCCAAGAAAAGGAAAAAAAAAAAAAAAAAAAGTTTTGGAGATTCGTCGCGATGGTGTGGAGAGAGAGAAGGGAGAAGAGAAAGAGGCGACAGATAGAGAGAGAAACGAGGTTGATGAGAGAGAAGGGGAGAAAGAATGAGATAGAGAGAGAAGAGGGCATCGGAGAAGAGAGTGAAGAACGAGGGAGAAAATGAAAAGGAGAATATGAAAACGGATTTCAACCGTTTTCAGTTTTTCAGAAAAGACAAAAACGTTTTTATTTTTATTTTTTAAAGACTTTTACACCAAACGCATTTTACATTTGCATTTTCATTTTTTAATCTCGAAAAACGTAAAAATGGAAATAAAAACATAAACAAACATGGCCGTCCTATCCAGTTAGAAACTGAATGAAGTTTAAAATTTTTTAAAAAAAAGTGTTGGAAACTGAATAAGTAAATTAAAGAATTTAAAAAAAAAAAAACTCACTGATCGAGAATCACAGACCAATGCAACAGATGTATTGCTGACTACGTGAAAAATGTGGGGAAACTGGGTCAAAATTAAATCAACAGCATAAAGAAAGCTCTAAGATACACCGCCTAGATATCCAGTTGCCTCTCACAAATGCTTCTTAAAACAACAAGAACCAGTTGTACATTTTCTAACTCTTAAATTTTAGGATTTCCACCTTCAGAAAGCCTTTGTTACATGGGAATTCAACATGCTGAATTTCACAGTCCAATTCCAATTCTGCAGGTCTGACTAGCCGCAGATTATAGGTGATTTACCAGCCTTTCCTCAACTATTTAATCCAGCAGGCTTCCATAAATGTCTGATATGAGAGCATTTCTTCTTGAAAACTGCTGCTGTTGGGCTAGAAGTCCATCTCCATCCTTGAGCAGAAAGATATGCAATATTACTTGATACTTTATATACTCATTACCAGTTAGAAACGAAAGATTCAATAGATAATAACCTTTCATACGGAAAGCAGGAAACAAAATTCTAGGAAAAACATTAATGCGTGTAAGCTGCCTAAAAAAGTAATTAACGTTCTTGGCTTAACATATTTGCAGCTTCATGAAACAAGTAAATGCAGGAAGAGCATACCAATTGCACATACAAGCCTCTCTTCTACAACCATCTCAAGTAAATGCACGATGCAGAACGGGTGAACTAAAAACGATGTTTTTTTGCCAAAACCCCATTTCTTTCATCTGTCAGCACCGATAGTGTTGCATTCTCTCATCAATATACCTTTGTTTAAACTTTCTTGTTCTAGAGTCTGTTTTCCACTTGGGACTCTGCACCGCAGTTACACAAAACACCTTTGTCACAAGAAAGTAAAAGGAAAACAAGTATGATTTACAGTCTGATCTGATGAGTCACGTGTTATTTTGATGAGTCACAAAGATATCGCAAGTCAACATAATTATACTAGAAATTCTTTTACATACCAATAATGTGACAAGGTGGCTGGAAGAAAGCAAAAAACAGCTACACCTTACGAGCCAGGGTCCTCTGCTTTGTTGCATGCTGTACTACTTTTTCCTCAACTGGAAGGCCCTTTCGTCGTCTTACATTATCAATGAGCTTTCTCGCTGTATTGTGGAGCACACTAGAACCATCACCGAACTCTTCAATTTCCTCTTCGGTTTTAGGTACAAAGAAAGGATCCTCAGGAAGGGCTTCCCAGTGACTAAGCACAAGAAGGGCACTAGCAGCTCCAGAAGTCCACCTCCTAAGTTCGTCTGCAAAACCAAAGCTTTCAGAAACAGGGACATATGCATGGACTGTAAACAGTGGTGAACCTTCCTGCATTTCTTCTTTCAGAACTCGTGCCCTCCTCCGTGCAAGTACGGCATACATAGGGCCCAGATATTCAGTTGGTGTGTTCAACTCACCAAAGTACATTGCTTCCACGAGCCGTGGTTTCTTTTGAAGCACAGCTGCCCTACAAGCATCTTTAACAGTTGTCATAACCTGTCCAGTGAAGATACCATATTGTTCAGAGTGCTGATGGGAAATTTCAGATTCATCAGAATGTGCAGTCAATGGAGAAATGTATGCTTCAACAATAAATGCCAAACCCCACATAGGTTCATCACATAAGGGTCCAGCTGCCGAAGCAAGTTGAAATCCAGACACAACACTGCTCTCAAGACGCTCTCCTTCAAAGTACAATGCTTGAGTTACTTCTGAAGATGGCCTATCTGCTGTAGCACAGGGGCCAGAATCATCTGCAAATCCTAGTTTCTCAGATATGTGAGAGGCGCCATGAATGAGAATAAACCCGTCAGTACTCATTCCTTCAGGGTCTGGAGTAAAGACGATGTTAGGACCAATCAGATGAGGCCCAAGTGACCAGATCCTTTTTAGAAGCTTTAGCCATTTTCGTTTGCATTTTTCTGCATGCTCCTTGTCATTTTCATTCCCGGACAAAATATCACTCTCCACGGCATCCATTATGCGTTTCTTTAGGGACTCTACAGGATTCTCATCCTCTGCAACGTTTGATATCTGTGTTTCCAAACTTCTATTCGCATGTCCAGCCTTATCTCCAATAATATCTCCAAGTAAATCAGAACTTTCATCAAGAACCTTAGTTAAAGAAGGCGGTAGCTTCATGACTTGTACCCGAACAACACATCTTCCATTTGGTGTGGTCTTCTCAACATAATCTGAGCTCCCAGTTAGGGATTTTAGATTCTCAAGAGTATTAGATACCTCTCCCTCAATGGTCTCTTTGTAGGAGACAAGAGGTGGTGAGACTTCCAAGCTTACCCTAGCAAACCTATCCTTCAAATCCTTTATGCATCTCTCAAGATGGACTTCTCCGGCTGCAGCCAGAACATGTTCTCCCCTCGCAGAAACTGTGACCTCTACAAATGGATCTGCTCGATTCAGAAGCTTTAAACCTTTCATTAATGCAACCATATCTGCTGGATCAGAAGGTTCAATTGCAACTCTAAGAGTAGGAGCAACTTGGAATACCATACTTGAAAAAGGCCAACAGTTCTTTGTGGAAGAAAGGGTTGCACTTTTAAGAATATGGTGGCTCAGGCCTTTGATTGCCACAACATTCCCCGCATGTGCTGCCGGCACAAATTTCAAACCTTGGCCCATCATTAGATACAAAGATTGCAACTCAACCGCCTGTATATGCTTCTGCATCGACTCCCCTTTTAATGGATCATATAGAGCTGAAAGAACGAAAATTCTCTGTCCTGCTTTAAGAACACCACTAAAGATTCTCGCAAATGCAAGAAAGCACTCCCCAGATGCACCATCTTCTCCTTCATCGGCGAAATTGTTTAGGACTTCCCCATTGGGGCCCCTTTGAGGAAGCATTTTCACCGGGACAGCAAACATCTTAGACACAAAAACAACACAAGGAGCTTCAGGCCTCGAATCACAAGCTTCAACTGATTTTCTAACAAGCTCTGCCTCGGCAAGTGCATTAGAATCAACCCCATTATTCAAAACCTCTCTTTTTGGAAGCAAGCGTGAAATACGAAACGCCTGTGCTGTAATTGGGTCAGGCATGCACTTGACCACCATTGATAATATTGCATTGGACAAAGGAAGCCAACGGCTCATCACTGCCTGAAGCACAACTTTCGGATCCTTGTTTTGGAGCTCACGTGGCGGTACGTTCAAATTAAACAACTTAATCACCTTCTCAAGCAATCCTTTTTTTCCGTCAGTCTCCACCGCCTGGTAAACCTGCCAGAGCTCCTTAAGCACAAGCTGAACAAACATGGGCCGAGCTTTACTCCCTCCACCCATCCCCTTCTTCCCCACAATCATCTTACTCGTGGCATCGTAGTACCAAGGACCCCACAAAGCCTTTCGCAACGCAGCCGCGCTGGCTCCAAGCTTAGACGCGTAAAACTCCGCGAAATCATGAACACTAAAACCCCACCCGTCCAACGCGCACGCAAACACCACATTCCCCTTCTGGGGCTGAAAAGTATCCTCCTCATCATCCTCCACAAACTCAACACCACTCTCCTCCCCAACCTCGCCCGAAGACGGCCTCGAGGCGAGTATGGAATCGACCTCGGACAAATACTTCTCCGACTTATACGCACTCATAATCCCATTAACCTCACGAACAATCCTCAACAACCTAGTGTAAGCCTCCATTGGAGTCAATTTAAGTTCGGTAATCAACCTATCAATCTTATTGAGAACAAGACAAGGGCTTACCTTCTCGATCCAGGCCTGGCGGAGGACGGCGTGGGTCTGGATGTGGACGCCCTCGACGGCGTCGACGAGGACGAGGGCTCCGTCGCTTAACCGGGCGGCGGTGGAGACCTCGCTGCAAAAGTCCATGTGGCCGGGTGAGTCGATAAGGTTGATTGAGTGGTCGTTGAAGCGGAGAGCAATGGAGGAGCTTTTCATGGTGATGGCGCGCCGCTGCTCCTCGTCGAGATAGTCCATGAAGCGGAGGCGGCCGGCGAGCTTGGGGTGGAGGAGGCCGCCGCCGGAGGAGGCGATCAGGTGGTCGGCGAGAGTCGTCTTGCCGTGGTCGACGTGGGCCAGTATGCAGATGTTTCGGATTTTTCGGGGCTCCGAATCGGCCATCGTTTTCAATATGATTTGATTTGGTTGAATGATAGAGAGAAGAAATTTGGATTTCTG